CCACTTTGGCCTTTTTTTTGACCGGTTGCTGTCTGGGAGAGGAGGGTTGTAGCCGGACTTTGGACCAGCCCGCTTTCTCATGCCACTTGAAGAAACACCGCTCCTAGTTTGAAACGTTTGGCCCACAAATGCTTGAGCCAAATTGGCTACGGAGCGAGCAGTTTAGGCCAGGGTCGGAGCTTTCAAAACACGGACTTTGCCTTGCAAGTAACATGTTGGGGGCATTTTATTCTAATTGTAGTATAAGATACCCCAAACCCTAGTCTAATCATTAAGGCACCCAAAGGAGCCATGGGCTTGTGGAGAGCCTCGAAGTTCAGGGCTTGTGGTGGCTGCCGGCTGTTACGAACCTCTGGAAGTTTCAGCATATATAGGGGGCATAATGTGGGGGGCCTTTATAATTAGAATAGGGTTTTGGGGTATATTATACCACAATCAGAATAAGGAACCCTTCAAATAGTATAGGTAATAGTTAAGGCCCGTATATTAGGGGCTAGCGGTTGCGGACTGGAGTGATCACAGTGGCGTGCACTGCACGGTACGGCCAGCCGGAATTAGTTTGCCCGTTTCTCTGCATAGTGAGCCTGCTTTGAACGTTAGCAGGAAGTCCGGTGCTGCTGGGCATGACGAATCACCTAGAATTCGGATCCCTGCCGAAAGAAAACTCGCAGATATCTTGGACTAAGCCCAGCCTCCCAAAGGTTGCCGTGCAGCCGCACAGGCGGGTCACGGCCAGTTCCTGGGAATCTGACAGCCCCAGGATTGTTGCGACAACCTCGGGGTTGAGGGCTAGTATATGTTCCACACCCCGGACGCTGAAACCAAACCGGACCGGCCTGACCAATCCCGCAGTGGAACCGAAAAGGAAGCAATCCAGATTCCTAAAGAAACTCTCAGACGGGACAAAGACCCCCAACCCCAACTCGCTTGGGAAGCAAAGGCCTTGGAATCCATGGCCGTATCTGATGGCCCAGCACGAGGAATGTGTAGCTGGCAGCTAAGACGCTCGTCTTTCGCTCCTTCTTCTCTGCTTTGTCTTTCTTCTCCTGTTCCGGGGCGCTATAGCCGAAGTACTTGCAGAAACTACCTGGCACTGGTGTTTGGACGAGCATGTTCTTCAGTCAGAAAAGGGCGACAGAAGGTACTAAGTCGCACGACTCAGGATGCGAAAGTACGATTAAAAAACAAACTTCCAGTCTCAGGCCGCCTTCTTCTCCTTCTTGCCTGGCTTGTCCAGACCGTCCTGAGTTGTGTTCGGTGGAAGTCCCAACAGAGGCGGCTGGGAGACTATGCATTTGTTGGATGCAGCCAGCAGCTTTACTGACTCTTGGCTGCACAGACAAGGTGGGTCCACCCTTTCGCGCTCCGCAGGCCTGAAATGTTCCTGAATGCAGCGCGCGCTCATCATGAAAGGCTCACTACCCAAAACCCCGTCGTTGCCAAAGATCCTGCGGTCGCATCCAGGAATCGCCAAAATCCTGCCGAGCACCGTGCCGAATGGAATGTGGGCCAGAGCCGACGATAGAACCAGGGTGATTCTAGACTCCAGAGCCCAAGCAGAGTTCACATGCCTGGTTAATGAGCTCAGTCGAACCCGGAAAACACTCAACTCGCACCTCACGCCCCTGCAAAGAACCAGGGCTGAACAACAATCGAGCTTAATACGAGGAAGCTGGATCATGACCTCACGAGTTTCTAAAGCCACAAGCTCCCGCGGCCCGCATCTCCTGCTTTTGTCTCTTCAAGGGCTCCCGGCCGTCCATTGCCTGTCTCAGGGTTTCCCAGGTCCGATATTCGTGGTGTGGGGCTGCTTGGAAACAGGGTTTGGTAGAGTTTGAAGCGTCGCCCTTAAGAAGTCGGAGCTGCAGATATTAATTGTGCTACGCGGGAAGGATAAGGATGGACAAGCGTGGGATGAGTTAAGTTCGGTCAGGCGCCGAGTGTGGCGCGTCTCCCTGCGCCCAGCCGTATCTGCACAGTCTTTGTGACTATGTACAGTTGGCCTGCCTTGGGTTGTGTGCATGGTCTGCCAGTTGGACCACCCGGGTTTCAGGTTGTCTGACTGGCTTAGGCTATGGTGTTCGGGCTTGGGGCTCAGAAGCCACTGGCTCTAGACTCGAGAGTCTCGAGCGGCATTCGATGGCAGCGGCTCGGTCCGTTGACACTCCAAACCCGCGCCTGCCATGATCCATCCAGGCTCATCTCCTCAGATCTGGAGTCGACTTGAATCTGTGAGGCCTCAAGTTTGTGGGCTTCATCGTCTCTCTCACAGTGTGGAAGTCGGTTAGAGTCAGAGCCATGTTCGACGGTGTTCTGATCTTCGGCCTCTTTGCAATTCCGAACATCAAGAGGATGCACGCTGCAGCAGCCAACAGCTTATGCCAAGCATCACACACATTTACAAAAATCATGGATACATAGTTTAGTGCAACAAAACCGGAACTAAGGAATCATGACCACCGTTAACACTCCTGCAGCTTAGCGGCCCGACCGCGCTTGTTCTGCAGTTGTCCGTCCCAGTCGTTCCATCGCTGGTTGTTCCACGAGTCGCCCTGCGGGCTCTGGGCCTGCAAGCGCTTGGGAGTTCTCCCCTGCAGCACTAGAAGCCACGCGAGGTTCGCCCTTCAGGGCCGGGTTTTGATTTCAGCTATGGCATGTAAAATTACAGCATGACATCTTTCCGTGTATGGCACCGTATCTTACTGGTCTCTGGCTGGGCACGGCAGAATTCTTCGCTACAGAACTTCTGCACTTTCGCAGGTCTCTAGGCCGAGCCTGGCCCCAGTCACCTCAGCTGACCCGTCTCGGCAACAAGACTCGGGTTAGGACGTCACATTCTGGGGCATGAGGGTTCAAGTAAGCTCTGCTCGATGCTCATGGTAACAGACATTCGTTGCCATCAATACAAAGATGTTGACGCATGATGGAGCAGGAGGTCCAATTTTGGAGTGCACTTTGTCATTGATGACAAGCGTGCTCGCTAAGCTTGAGTCACCTACTCTTGCTTGTGGGCGATGTAAGACGTTTTGGCATTGACTTCAGCAAAATACTACCAGTCGCAGGAACTTATAGGAACTTATAGGAACTTAAGAAGCAATATCAGTGTGCGGGGTGCCGCGCGCAATCAGGAAGATACTCCACTGGTCCCGTAAAAGCGGACAGAATTCAAAGTTGCCGAAGCTTTCAGCCTAAGGCCGGTTTCTACAGATTTTGCAGGCTTGGGACAACAGAGCTCCTGAATGTGGGGCCTTGTTTCTGATCGAAATTCTCAGGACCAAGACCAAGGCTTTCAATGAACCTGCACGGCAGCCTCCTGGAAGCTCCAAAGACAATTTGCAAATACCATGGGTGGAGCATCTTGAGTCTTGAAGCTTCGAGCCTTCAAAAAAAACAATCCAACAAGCTTGGCTCAAGCTCGTGCCAGGCAGCCAGCAGCTGGCGCTGCCTCTTGCGGAAAGGCCTGTGGGAGTGGCAGGGAACTTCTGCCATCAGTAGGTAGGGTCGCAAGGCCGTTCTCGCGTGAGCACGCTCACAACAACAGTGAGCTGACAACTGTCAAAGTAATGAATCTAAGTAATTATGTAGGAGAGAGCCATTGCTTCTACAACACTGAATTCAACAATGGATACTTGCTCCTGGACGCTCCAGAATCGACCGGAAAACACCCGAACGGTTCCCCACCCTCGCGCCGAATGTCGGAACATGTTCCAAGTAGTTGATCTAGGTGTCATGATTTCGGAGGTGGCTTTAGTCAGAAAGTCTCGGTATGTCTCGGTAGGAAGCACTTGCCCATTGGTTCGATAAGATGCCGCACAGGACTTGAGGCATTGTGCAAACTTCAGTATAAGGGCTTTTCCGACAGTGTCATCGTAGATTGCACATCAGGCTAACTTTCGAAAGCTGAGAAACCACTGCTGCGGCAAAGAGGGTCTGATGCGACAGCAACTTTCGACTCTTGCCGTCCGAGACTCATCACCCGCCTGCCACGACTTGGACCTGAACGAATGGTTCCACAGCACACTCACTTAAATTTGCTTGAGATGGCGGACAGTGTCAGAACATGTGTGTCAAGGACCCGCGTTTAGTTTTTGGTGCTAGCTGCGCACGCTGCATAGCCAAGATGAACCAGCCTGGGCATCGAGTTCCACCATTCCTCCTGGCTGTTGTTCCTTGGTAAGCAAGAAACTCAATGTACGTGCAATCGACAGTCGATGCCTGGCTCAGCAAGCTAAAGGCGAAGCTGTTCTTCCTCACGGCCTGTCATATATTCCCCATGTGAACCAAGTGTTGTCGTCGTTGTCAAAGCTGGACTGAAGCAGGAACAAGCACCGCCACCACCACCGCCACCGCCACCGCCACGGCAACAGCAACAGCAGCAGCAGCAGCTGCAGCCACTGCTCGTCCGACGACGACGATGACGTCTCCAAATCCCTGCCTACAACTTGAACCCCCTGCGTGCTGTGACGATGAGAGAGGCAGACCAGCGCAGAGTTCAGCAACAAACCCCTTGAGCTGCTATCCCATGTGACCATAACAACGCTCGGGCTCGTTGTGCTTGCTGCTGTTGAGGCATGCATGGACAGGAGGTCATTTGCTGAGTGGCCGAGGAGGGTTCCTGCACGGCCGATATCAATATTCGACACTCCAGGTGCTCCTGCCCATCAACCCCACCCGACACAAGTTCCCAGCAATTCGCCCAAACTTTTTGCGGGCTGCGATCGATGTCTGCGGAGAGCTGTGCAGCTGCCCACAAACTCCTAGGACTAGGCCTCAATAATTACTACGTTGGTTGTGTTTAAGATTTCACGACGTGGAAAATAGGCGAAAAGCTGTCCGAGCCTGCTCTGCAGAAAACACCAATGTAGCACCCACAATGCAACCGGAGGGTTTGTGGCCATTCTGTGGCGAGGCTTCCTTTATCGCTGCAGCACGAGGTCCCTGTTGCAATGCCCACCTTCATCGCAGCATAAAGCTCTTGCAATAATACGTAACTACAGATAAGCGATAAATTTCCAATCCTGCATGTATTTCCTAGATGTCGAAAAACCGAACAGGCAGGCCTACAGTGACCCCGCGTTGCGCGAGCGGCCGCCAAACAGGACTGCGCATGCGCCTGATGCAAACTCACTCAAAGGCGCTCACGGTAAGTGCACGCGTCCGGAAGTCCCATCAAACTTCTCAGCGATACTGTTGCCACGATCCAACTGTATATACATGTGGAAATGACATAGACAAATCCATGAATAAGTATGTGTATGTGCGGAAACGTGAAAAACGCCATCTGGTTGGTAGCAACGTGCACACCGCGCAGATACGGAACAAACGATCTGCTTATGTCTATGCAAAGTGTTCGTTTGTTTTCCGCTGTCACATCATGAGCTTCAAGCTGCTAGGACTGCCTTTAGATGCCCGGGCAAATTGCTGTAGCCATATCAAAACTTCCTACACTCGCGACGCACTCAAGGATAAGGCCCTCGCTCAGCGAAGGGAGTGGCTGGTGGCATCACATTAAAGTGACGCCCGTCTCGAACTTCGCAATTTCGCAATCTAGAAGCTGGGAGCGAAGCACAGAGCCCTTCATTCGTGGGAGCTTCTATGATGCTGTTGCACTCGTTACTCTTGCTAAAGCCGTCCTGTAGCATCATTCACAAGGTTTCTGGGACAGGAAGTGCGAGTCATGTCCCACATCAACGGCCACAGCCGTCTTGTAGCATGGTTATCTTGCCTGGGACAGGAAATGTGAGTCATGTCCCGCATCAACGGTCCCATTTCGATGCTGCGCTCAACGGGTCTTCGCAAAACGGGTGATGACGTGATACCTTCGCGGGGGTCCGGACTTTTTAGGCGCTGCGACAGGTTTTGGAAGTGGCTTTGTCTGTTCTTTGACCTCTTTGGGGTTTAAGGGCGTAAGATTTTCATCGCTGCCAGTCGCGACTGTTCCGTTGGTTGCTCTTCGGCCCATCTGTTGCCTACCACCAGGAAAAGTTGGGATATGGCAGAAATGCGGTGTCCGGTCTAGAGGATATCTGATAATACTATCTTTGTAATTTTTCAACCGAAACGCTGTTGACCTTCTAGGGCAGGTTGAACATACCATCTTGACATGACGCGAAACACAAAGCTCCGAACCCGGAATATGACACCCACACCCTTAACTGAGCTCGTATCGCAAGTGACGTAGCCGAAAAGCACACTCCCTGCTTTTGCAGCTCACGCACCAGCGTACAAACATCCCGCCCAGTAATGTGAAAGTTATTCTCAAGACTTCGAAATCGACGCACCTACAGCCCCGCAGCCCTGAAGCCCCACACCGCATCTTCCACCGTGCCACCAGGGTGTTTTTGAGCGGGGTCGAGATTCCGCCCGAAGACTGGTCCTGACGAGGTCGTCGCCTGGAAGGACTTCTTGCTTCTCGCATGGCTTTCCAATACTGCTATAGCTTCTGGTCCAGATGTAGAATTGATGTATGCACATGGTAAACTTAGTATTATTGCTGATCGTTTCTGCTTGATTCTTGCTGGGCTCGGGCTGCAAGAGGCCTCAACACGAACTCAAAGCTTCAGGACCACCCTGCGAGCGTTTCGGGCCCGCAGGCGGGGCATGTCGATTATATTGTATGTATTTACGCACTTAAGTCTAGCATTCATATTTGTGTTGCGTTTGTTTGCATATACATGTATGGCCAGGTAGAAGAGATGCATGCATCCCTGCAAATCCATCTGAAACCAAATTTCGGATACCCTTAAGACTCCATGCCACGTTAGGGCAAGGTTTCGGAATGTTGGCCTAAATTGGCATGTGTCAAACACCAACAGACCCAGCCCAGTCTGTCCATCAGTCTCAAGGTCGAACAAACCCGCGCGCGAGATCAGCAAAAGCCACCGCAGCTACGGTGCACCAAGGTCCTGAAATCGAAGACTCATGTTGAATCCGACGTGCAGAAACCCAAAACCTCCAAAACGAACGATCGGTTTGACACCCACACTGCCTGGCAGATTCAAGCCGCAGGCACGGCCGAAGGCCAGCACTGCATTCCTCGGATGTGGCGACGGATCCTTGTGTTCGAATAGTGCTGACGACCCGACGCTTGCGTTTGCGTCGCAGAGTCCCGTGAAGTCTAAAAAATCGAGGCGCCGAAACCTTTCGGGCTGAGCTTTCGGTACCCAAACGCCCTGTAGGCCCTCAGCATACCCGCGACCTCTAAGGCTATGCGGCTATACTCACCCGGGTGCAAAACAAATAGGGGCCGAGGCACAGCTTGGAGTCCAAACGGCTCAGCTCCTCGGGCGACATCGTCCGAACCTTCCATGCATACATCGTACATTGAGGCTTGTTGCCTTACGCTTTCGGGGTAGTGTAGTAGGGATCTTGAAGCACCGTGGCAAGTTAGTATTCAGGCGATAGTATGCTGGCTTTCGAGACCGTGGGTTCAAGACGCCCTGCTGGTGCCTCCGGACCGGAAGAAGGCTTGGTTCGGAGGCAACTCTCCCAGCGATCGCAAATTCGAGTACCGGGTATCTCGTAAGGCGGTGTTGTACCCCTTCACGTGTTGGAACCGGTGCACTGTGTGCCGTTCTTGCTCAGCATACAATCGGCCTCCAAGAGGCGCATAGTCATGTCCGGCAAAAGGTCGGACGACCATGCTTGGCCTGCTGAGCTGCGATGCGACATGGGCCTCCAGCGACAAGCGACAGGGTCGCTTTCCCCGTGCTTGCTCGACCATGTCCTTCCACGAGAAGCGTCAAAACCCAGGTGCCGACAGCGAGCTGCGTGTCGAAACGGAGCGAGATTTGGTCGTGCTGCTCGTGCAGCGGAGTTGAGCGACCCGAATTTGAGTCGGGGTCTGTGCGGACAATTGGATGGTGTGCTGCTTATTGGCCCAGCTTGAAGTTCTTTCATTTGCAGTCGAGATGTCGGGCGGGAATGTAGCTGCAAGGATGTCTCGACCCTGTGAGACTGACCATTCAGTGACAGCAGCTGCTTGAGCCTTGCCTGTCCGCAAGGCTGTGGGACGTTGCATCAGGGTAGGAAGACCGTCTGCAGCGAGGGTGTCGACTAACCGATTCGGTCATCATTCGGGATGTGCAGCTTCTCATTTTAGGCTGTGCTCCGTGCAGTAGTCAGTAGTCAATTGCGGACATGCTTGCCGATCATGGGGCATGGTATCTGGATTCAGCCTTCGGGCTTTGGACCCGTCGCGAAAAAGGACGACGGGTGATTCTAGTGAACACTCCAGGCTCATATCTTCTGGGCTTCGGGTCTGCAGTGGACGAGGTAGGGTTGACGCTGCAGCTCTTCAGCATTCCTCCCGCTACACCTGGATCTTAAGCTTAAGTCCTCAATCCTTCCGACCAAGATCGAAAAATCTCCGAAAGCCTGAGCTCTGACGAACGCACACAACCCAGGGCACCGCAAAAGCGCATGGTTATATGCCCAGACTTTGAAAAAATAAAGCTGTGCCCTAAACCCGATCGATCCCTGGCTGACGAAGGCTGCAGGTGCCTGCCCATCTCGAGCGCTGTTTTTCGAGAGCACGAAGATGCCTGGCTTCGCATGCTGTCGGTCAGGGCGATCCGAAAATGAGGCTCTAGGCTTGAGGAAGACATATCGAAGACTTGCTTGTAAAAAGGACGAGCTGAAGTAGACTAGACTTGGTGCTTCATCATCATCTTCGGGGCGAGTGTTGATCTTAGCTCTCGCATCGCATGTACGTGGGGAGAGGTATCGTATCTCGGGTCCTGCAGCGCCCAAGCCCAATCACCCCATCCGCCTTCAGTCCCGACTATTGCGGAAGCTTCAAGGTCCTGCCATGAGCTGAGGTCAATTCGGCCCCCTTTTGGGCGGCTGGGGGCGACTCGATTATGACCCAGAAGGCACGGGTTGCACACAAATAGGCAGCTCGCCCGGGTCGTGTTGTGTGGAACTTGCAGGTGGGGTTGTGATCTCACCTGGACCTCGACCTTGGGAAGGAACTTCAGCTAATGTCGCCTCTGGCTTTTACATCCCTGATCCCTGCACCCCGTCCTTCAGCACGTCAATTCCTGAGTTGAGCATCTGGCTGCTTTGAAGGGCTCAAGGTATCTAGAGGGCGCTCGGTTGGGAGGATTGGGTGTGGCTCACCACGAGCCCAACTTTGATCTACAGAAACCCTGTTGCGCTATAGGCCTAT